TTGGGTCTGAAAGGGTTAAGCTACTATTTGATGTTGGTGGTTCACAATTAAGCTCATATTTTGAATTAGGTTTAATGGTAGTTAGACTTGTTAAAGATACTAATGATGGACTTTCAGTTGTTAAATCAAAATTATTTGGAATGTCCTACAAAAAAAAAAAAAAAAATATGATACATTTAATTATTGGATTATAGACTTATGTTAAGCTATTACGAGTAGGTCATGTAGATTTAACACATCCATTAGTAAAATATATTGTTATAATAAAAACATTGCTAATGTACTAAATAATTGTAAAATTAAAAAATAATTTATAACAGATAAATTTATGTTTTTAATTATCTACTTGAAATTATTTACATGTAATTTAAATTTTGGAATTAGAAAATAAGTAAAATGTAGTTAATTGTTACAACTGATACCTGGTTATTAGCAAGGACAATTACTTTACGCCACTCTTCTAAATTTGCCCTAAACTTAGCCCTATGGCCAATCATAGGTATGTCTTTCATATCATCCGTTAAGAGTGAAAAGCATGATAAATCTATTCCATGTTCTGACAATAATATATAAAAACAAGAGTAAATAAGCAAATTAGCAAATAGGAATTAACCATTTTCAATTATTATAAGCTGGATAAATCTATTTCATGTGGCATATAGGTATGTAAATTTTCATTTAATAAATACCAATGAATAATAATAATTTAATACTTCATGGTTTAAACAACCACTTATGTAACACTTATGTTTATGTATAGTTTATACATCACCATTGAGTACATATGTAGACTAGAATCAAAAATCACATGTTAGTTTTGACACTTAGTACTTGTTTCTATGTAATATTTACACGAGTTTTGGTAATTTTGAAACAAACTAATTATAGATTCTAATTCTCCGTAAAAAGTTCTATAGGACAGTGTTAATAACTCATTTTACCATTTTTTGAAACACGTAACTTTTGATTCTAGCTTACTCACATTTTGTATTTTATTTGTAGGTAAACTATATAACTTAATATTTATAAGTAGATACTCAACGCTATTATCTAAATAGGTACCAGCTACTTATTATATTTACTATAAAGTATAATAAATGTCTTATCTTTAAATATATCAATATACGATTCTAATCCCTAAGCTGAAAACATGTCTTTAACATCAGAATCGGCCATTTTTAAAATAACAAAAGAAAAATTAGAACAAATTAAAAAAAAAAAAATAGGTAGGTATATTAAAATAACACTTTTTTTTTTTATTATTATTTGAAAATAAACAATCTATGCTAGTGGAGAACAATAAGTAAATATGATGATAATTTACAGGTGAGATATGATTAATATGTGGAGGGAGGCCATCCATTGATAGAACTCAACGTGAATTATTTTACTGGGGTAAAAATTTTATTTGAGTAAGTCTCTACACCATTTTCGTTTCAAACGACGTTTAGGGTTTCCACGAAGAGTTTTGCATGAGAGTGATGAGATTTTTCGGTTTGAATGTGTAGATAATTTAGAGTGGAATCTAGAGTAGTGTTTTGAAGCTAACTGGCTGACTGTCTCAATGTTTAGATCGTTATGCAGTGTATCGTTGGATATGTACCAGGGTGCAGAGGTGACTAGTCGAAGTGCTATTGATTGGAAAGCATGTATGGTGCAGACTTGCGAGGGTTTTCCACAACCCCAAATTTGAATGGCATAAGCCCACATGGGTTTTAAAAGAGATTTATATATAATATTTTTTTGTATGGGGATAATTTGGATTTAAGTATTGGTCGTAGGAGGTATAGTCGGTTATTATTTATATATATATATATATACATTATTTTATGACGGTGTAGCCTTGTTTCTATAGACCTCCGAAAGTGGAGGATCATTTTCCCTGCGATACTTCGCAATTTAAAAATAGGTAACCAGTCTTTTTGCAGGCCAAGCTTACTGTGTCTGCATAAAAAAAAATTTTCAATTAATTTGGTTAAACTATGTTCTTTATTTTGTATTATTTTATGATAAAATTATTATTATGATTGATATGATGTGATGATGTCTTGTTTTAATAATTCGAATAATGTGTATATCTATAATTATGTTTTTGTTCTTAGCTTCAACGATTGTGTGTTCTGAACCATTTATGTCTTTCTGTATAAAAAATCTATTATTATTATATGTATATAAAAATTATTATTATTGTTCATTCAAAACAATATTTACATATTTAAAAACTAATCAGAACAAAGATTATTGCAAAAAAAATTCATTTTTTTAAAATGGAGTTTGTATGCAATTATAGAACACAAATTCACCATGTTCTATGGTTATAAATTTTTCAAATTCACAAAAAAATGTTAAAAATTGTTTATTATTTTATACTTGCAACATAAAATATAATTGTTCAATATATTAAATAATAATTCACCAACTCCCGGATTCTAGTTGCTATTAGAAAAAATTTAAAAAATAAATAAATACTGGGTGATTAATTAAATCTATTCTCTATTAAGAGGTCGTAAAACAAATTCTTACTTTATTTCACATTCAGTGTTGTATACTATTTCATTTATATTAAATTTTATAAAGTTATGAATATATATTAATTTTTGTGGTATACATAAATAATCAAATGATATATTTGAATATAATTTCCACGTATTCGTGGTAATAATAGTGGTTAAGCATTAAATTTTCGAATTCCGTTAGACGGAATTCATTAAAATCAACAATTTGATGAGTAAAATTATTTAATTGTGTTGGTTCTGTAAATAATGTACTGTAAAAAAATTATAGGTATATATTTAGCTTCATAGTTCACAGTCATTGTTGACGAACGCTACAGGTCCAATAAATAAATGATCCAGCTTAGTGCGACTACTAGCTGTGCAAGAGGGAAAAGTAATTTTGGTCATTGATGATGTATTATTTTTCAATCGGATACGTTTGCCCATTAAGTCCTTTAATCAATTTTGTAACAAAAAATAGTATGTATAATATTTTGTAGAATGCAGCGCACAAATTAATGATAAATACAAGGTAAAAACTTTTTAAGTTTTGCATAACCTAAAATTTCAATTTCTAATTGCTAAATAGTTTTATTTATTAATCAACAAATTTAAAAAGAAAATTAAATTAATTTTTTTTTTTCCTATGATATCGAGGACTGGAGGAGGAACCATGGTACCAGTACTTCTCCTCCAGCCCCCATCGTTTATTGTCAAAACAAAAACATACAGTAATTAGCAATGGTGGGCCAGTCCCCCACTCGCTGCTATTACATGCAAGTGATGTAAATTATCAAAAAAATACCAATACAGTTAATACATAGTCGCTCCGTTCTCCCCGATTGCCTATGGTGTAGTGATGGCATAAAATAACAGTAGCAGTGATTTTTCACTGGTGATCACAAAGTAGCAATCACAGTCTGCTTCTCCAGTATGAAAATAACAGTGACTGCTACTTTTTAATTTTTAGTAGTTGGTCACATTGGAAAACTGCTACTGCTACTTTCTGTAAAAATATGTTATAGCGTTATAGGTATTATAGATATTAACTTATGTTTCATAATATAGTAGTTGCCAGTTGGTCACAGTTTTGAAATCACCAGTGAAAATTCACTGATATAGTGCTACTGTTATGTTATACCATCTCAAGATATTGCTACTTTTTGAAACTGCTACTCACTGCTACTTAATTAACTGCTACTTTTGCATAGATATTAGATAATATTATAAAAGTTCATGACACTCTCATCAGAATTAATTATCTAGTTATCATTTTATCAACATTTATTTTATTATAATATCAGAAATTGATTGCTTTTGAATGCTAAACGCGGACTAGCCTTAATGTAATGACTAACCTTATGCAAACTTATTCTCATAATCACATGAACGTTGAACATTCTACCAATGATAAAGTAAATTTACTTTATCATGATTCTACCTAGTACCTACTTATCTATGTTTATGTTTATACAACCATGATAAAAATATTAAAAATAATTAATAAAACACTATTGTAGTTGCTAATTTGTCATGAGTACAACTGTTACTTGTGATTTGAAGACTTGAAGAATAGCTACTGTAGCCCATGTTAGTATTTTACTGTTTTATTTTTGTTTTAATAAAATTGTCATAGTATGAACATTGTCAATTATAAAATTTAAGTATTGTACTAGTGATTTTACCTGTTACCTAAAGGTTACAACAATAAACTGTTCTTCAGAAACATGAGTTACATATTTATAATTATGAAAATTAACACTGATACCTGCATTTAAAATATAATAATGGAAAATAAAAAATGTTTTTTTTAAATAGTGCAATAAATGTTAAAAAAAAACTTAAAATACTCATAGTTACAACATAGTAATAAAAATTAAATAACTGTAAGTTAATTGGATAAATGAATTATGCATTTTGATTTAAAAACAACAACATTTCTGCTTTTTTTGTGTTTAAGCAACAACGGCGATCAGATATTAAAAGGCCTGCTTTAGAAAATACCCGCTCGCATGGAACAGACGATCCTAGACAACATAACGTCTTCCTGGCCAAAACGTTTAAAAATGGGTAATTATACTTGTGATCTTGCCACCATTTTAGTGGATCACAGTTTCTTTTTAATACTGGTTCTTCTAAATAACGTTGCACCTCTACTATAGCCCTTGAAGTTGATGTTCCAGTTGAAGGCTGCATTTGGGAAACACATTTATCGATTGATTCCCAAATTGAAAATCGCTTTACTTCAGGTGTCAATGTGTCAGATGGCTGGATAGAAGTCTGTGGTTCATCTTCAATCGATGTAGATTCTGATCTGGATTTCGAAATAATCTGTGCTGTACGCTCTACTATATCACTCTTTACTGAATTTATCATGTTTTCATTGTGGTTGAATGGTATGATTTTGAACCGTGGATCAAGGAATGTACATATTTTTAAGGTCTTACTATTTTCAATATTTCCCCAGCTTTGGCGGTCTCTCATACCATTCAATAAATTATTGACTTAACCTAAAGTTCTGAGAGAATAATTTTCATTTTTCATTTGTTCGCAGACATTTTTCAACCCTTGAGCAATAACTATAACTAATGAAGCAGTCATGTATTGATCTCCACTCACTGCTCTAGTAGCTTCTTCAAAAGGTCGTAAAATGTTACAGAACTCCTTGATAGCTGTCCATTCATCAGAATTCAAACAAGGTGGCGCATTATCTAAAAGTCCCATTGTTCCCCGTATAGAAGTCTCCAGCTGTACAAAGCGCTCTAGCATGTAGAATGTAGCATTCCACCTCGTGGCTACATCTTGTAAGACTTTTAGTGGATTATCGATCCCTATATTTTTTTGATATGCAATTAATTTGTTATTTGCATTTGTACTTTTGCGAAAATGAGTAAAAATGTTTTTGACTTTATCAATGAGATCGTTTTCTTTTTTTTAATGCAGACTGGACAATCAGATTAAGTGTATGGGCAAAACAACCAAAATGTTTAAATTTTAACTGTGCTAATGCATTTTGAATGTTGTAAGCGTTGTCAGATACAGAAAATACAATTTTACTTTTCAAGTTCCATGCATCTAATGTTTTATTTATTTGCTCAGCAAGATTCTCACTTGTGTGGTTCTCAATGAATGAATGACAACTTAATAATATAGACTTCAAATTAAAATTGTTGTCAATAAAATGAACAGTTATGGCAATGTAACTTTTGTTATCTCTAGATGTCCAGCAATCAGTCGTCAAACAAGCTGTTACTAATTCATTTGATATTGTTTCTTTAACCTCATTCACATATTTTTCATAAGCTGCTGGAATAAGTGTTTTGGAAATCGAATGCCGGTTGGGAATTTTGTAGCCAGGGTTTAACATGTTCACAAACTCTTTAAATCCTGTATCTTCTACCACACTAAAAGGTTGTAGATCTTTTATAAAAAGTTTCATGAGTGAATTATCTAATTTTTTTTTGGCCGTCAACAGAAATTTTTTTAGGAGTAAAGTTTGTAATTGCCAACTCCCTACGTTTCAACGGATTTAGTTTTAAAATTGGTGTCATCTCATGTATACCAGTTGCCTGATTAACAATACTACTGCCCGGTTCTTTTCCTATACTAAGGTCCCTTACTGTTTGTACACATGAAGATGTAGAAGGTACGGGATTGACGACATCAACTTCAGGCTCATTCTATGTAAATTAATAAAAAATTTTAAAAACTAATTTAATTGTTGTAAATTAAATTTTAATAACACTGAATGGAAATAAATTATTTTTTATTTTTATTCAGTATGAGAAGTAGAGATAAAAATTTAAAAAAAAACATTTCTACTACTTTTTATAGTTATTAAGCTGTATGTAAATTATTATTTATAATCATAAAAATCAATATAATATTATAAGCTTTACCAGAAATAAAACTAAAATAATAAATAAATGTTATATTATAGTACATAGGTTACCTGTAATGTATTATTTTCAGTATAAAGATATATCAAATGAGAATTGTTGAGATGTTTTTTTCAAGTTTGACAGACTAGTTTTGTACGAATATTTTTTTTTACAAATTTCACATTTAGCTTGACTAGAGTCAACTTTAGAAAAATACTTCCAAATGTCACTAGTTCTTCTGTCTTGATTAATTTTGAATTTTAATACAATAAAACGATATTAAGTTTGTAATTTATAATATGTAGTGTGTACTGTCCTGACATTCAACACCAACAGAAAATAAAAATATCCTCACTACATTACAATTTATTATCTGGTGTTTTTTTTTTATCCATGTAAACAACTAACTTCTATAAATAACAAATAATATTACCATAATGATATATATTAAGGAAATTCTTCCATTCTGTATATTACACACAATACAGTGATTCCAAATAGCTATAATTATTGTAATAGTTAATACATGAATAGGTTCTCAAAGAAGAAATTATTCTTTAGCTTTGCCTATCAATATAATTATGCTATTACTAAGGGTACAAAAATATAATTATTTTATTTTACTACCATGGAATCTTTTAATAATCATATAAATAGATTTTTGTTTTTAATGTAGGTATATTTGTATTATTAATATCATTGTTATTTGTTAATATTGTACTATGATACGGTTCGTCCGGATGGACGACCCGTTTCGTAAATAAATACACTTCTTTATTTTGAGTATTACGTGTTTCTATTTCTATAAAATAATAATTATGTTTGACAATTAATGGGCTGAGTAAAGCGTCGATTTGTGCCGACCAGACTTGTATAAGTGAGTCGACACAATCGGGGGCGCTTGGGTTTTAGCCGGGCAATTACCGGGCTAAGGTAAGTTTACGTCCGATAGTAACGCCGAGGTAGTTAGCTTGTTTAGACCATGGTAGAGGGTAATTATTGATTTGTAGTGGTGGTATGTGAGTTGTGTTAGAGCGCCCAAATAGGACTGCTACAGTTTTGGTCGGATTTATTTTGATACGCCAGCGGTAGAACCAAGTGGTAGCCAGGTCAAGTTGATGTTGTAATTGGATAGCTGCGCGTTTTGGGTTAGTATCGGTGGTGAAGAACATAGTGTTATCCGCGAACAGTGAGAGAAAGGCTTTAGAAGTGGTCGGTAAATCGTTGATGTAAGTTAAAAAGAGGGTTGGGGATAGGCATGAGCCTTGAGGGACACCTGCAAGGATGTGTCTGGTGGACGAAAAAGAATCATCAATTTTGGTAATGAAGGTACGATTTGAGAGGAAAGATTCGATGATTTTGATGCACCTTTGTTTTGGAAATATACCACAATCTTCTGTTTTTAAAGTAGCACAACATTCAAAATGGGAGAAATTTAATTCTTCAATTTGATTTAGAAATAAAGATAGTTTATTTTGGAAAGCTTTTACTGAACGGAACAATGTACTTACGAGTTTTTCTTTTCCTTGTAGTTTTATATTTAACAAGTTCAGATGATGTGTTATATCTGTTAATATTGCTAAATCCCATAGCCATTCACCATCATTTAATTGTGAATATTGTTTATTTTTTTCAATTAAAAAAATTTCGATTTCATGGCGCAGGAAAAAAAATCTTTTCAAAATTTTTCTTCTACTTAGCCAACGTACATTACTGTGATATAAAACATCTTTATACTCAGACTCTATTTCTGAAAGAAAATTTTGAAATTGGCGATGATTCAATCCATGTGATCTTATAAAATTAATAATTTGTACTACAATAGACATAACATTTTCTAAATCTAAAACTTTCCCACATAGTGCTTGTTGGTGAACAATGCAGTGAATTCCAATTGGTGGAGATAGATTTAGTTCAGACATTTTTGAGTTTATTTTTCCGATTAGTCCACTCTTAGAGCCTATCATACTTTTTGCACCATCTGTAGTAATACTAACAAGATTTTCAAAATCAAGACCTAGATTTTTGAATGTATTTAATAAAGCTTTGAATATATCTTCTCCTGTTGTAGTACCACTCAAACTCTCCAACGCTCCCAACTCTTCTGTTATTTCAAAATTTGCCTTCACACCTCGTAAAAAAATTAGAAGTTGTGCCGTATCTACCATATCTGTACTCTCATCTAATGCTATTGAAAAATATTGAAAATGTTTTACTCTGTCTTGCACTTGTTCAAAAAGATTAAGTCCAAGATCTTCTATTCTTCTAGTAATTGTTTGGCGTGACAAACTAACTTGTTCAAACAAACATTTATTCTCAGGACATATTTCATCAATAACATGTAACATACACTTCTTCACAAATTCTCCATCAGAAAACGATTTACTTTCTTTGGCTATTAACTGAGCAACTCGATAACTAGCACGGACAGTAGACACGTTTTGTTCACATTTTTTCTTAAATATATTTTGTTGAAAATTAAGATTTTTTTTTAAGAAATTAATTTTTTCTACTCTTTATTTTCCTTCTAGATTTTTAAATTTGTCTTTATGTTTAGTTTCATAGTGTCGTTTTATGTTGTATTCTTTTAAAACTGCAATAGTTTCTTTACATATTATGCACATACCTTTATTTTGCCATTCTATACAAAAGTAATCGTCTTCCCACTGATTTTTAAAAACACGACATTCCGAGTCAATTTTCCGTTTTTTGTTAGACATAATGAACTTTTACAATACACAACGTAATATTACATTAACTTTATATTAGTCCTGACCGCAGACGAATAACGACTGAACACGATGGCTGTAGAAACTACAATGTAGATAAAATTGGTCGCGCAACGAGCGCAGTAATATTACTATATGTTGTATTACTATATATTGCTATACTACTAATATAACATATTATTGCTTTAAGGCAATGTTCTTTAGAAGTATACGAAACTAGCAACACTTTTGTCGGTTTTTATAAAGGACGACTATGTATTAAATCTATAAACATTTTCAGCGGCTAATTGTAGTGTGGTAAGATGAAGCAACGATTTGATTATAGTACTTGATTGGCATAGTTTACAGCATTTGAAATGTTTGGCATTATCATGACTAATTCCGTTATTTTTACTATTTAAATTTCCAAGACTTATAAATTTATAATACTGTTCTATAATTCAAAGTCGTATGACTTTCTTGTATTTCTTCAATTGAAGAGCTACACCACATATTCAATTATCATCAAAATAATGAGCAGTATGTTAAATATGAATCAATTGTTGTTGATGTCCAAATATCAGTTGTTAAAGAAATATAATATTCTATGATATTTTGATAGTTTTAGATTTATCTTATATTCATTTTTCAAACTGTAGTAATGCTTTTCGCGATGAATAGTATAAGTGGCTCAATTGTTGAAATTAATGAACGAAAACCTTTATTTTCTACTGTAAATGGTAATATATCAACAATTATCATTTTGCAAATACTTTGTGTAATAATTTCATTGATTTTATCTAATGGTCTTGAATTTTTAATAATGTTATGGTAGTGCTTTTACGTTTCAAAGCAGGGCCGGCTGAGGACGAAGAAGTTGACTGAGAAGAAATGAAAGTTGAAGATGTTGAAGCTATTTGTTCACTATCCTATTGCCTCATTACTATCAATTCTCTACAAAAATATTTTGAATTTTATAAACTATAATAAAATTATTATTCAATAATTAAGAAACAATGTATTGATAACCTGCTTACCCTATATATTCATTAGCGTGCTGTTCTTCATTAATTTTCGTTTGTGGGCTTATGCCACCGATTATAATGTGTCCACAAAATAGATATAGATCCCATATTTTTAAAACATCGTGGCATACAGAACATATAGCAGTTTATTTGATTCGCCACGCGTAAACAAATTTCAAATTTTACTTGGAGGCATTATAGTAAAATCAATGTTTACACTTTGATGTAACAGAAATACTATTCTAATTCCTACAAGTATGTCTCCACTGATA